GCCTATGCCTACGATCCAAAGCCATGAACCTCAGGCCACTGAAAAGGAGCATGCAAACTTAACCACTACAGGACCAGGCCAGCCCCAAGAAGACTCAATATTGTCAAAAGTCAGTTCTTTGTAATTTGATCTATAGATTCAATGCAATCTCAATCAAAATCTCAAGTTCTTTTGTGGATATGGACAAATTAATTCCAAAGCTTATTTGACAGGCAAAAGACCCAGAATAGCCAACACAATATTGAAGGAGAAGAAGAAAGGTGGAACACTGACGCTACCCAATCTCAAAACTTACTATGAAGTTACAGTAATGACAACAGTGTGGTATTAGCAAAATAATACACAAACAGATCAAAGGAATAGAACAGACACTCCAGAAATAGGCTTCATAAATATAGTCAACTGATTTTTGACAAAAAATCAATACCAATAAATAGAGCAAATATAATCTTTTCAACAAATCGTGCTGTAACATTTGGATATTCATATGCCAAAATAAGAAAAAATCTATAGAGAAACAAACCTTACAACTTTTACAAAATTTAACTCCAAATGGATCATAGACGTAAATGTAAAAATGCAAAAGTATAAAACTTCTAGAAGATACCATAGGGGAAACCAAAGGATCTTGAGTATCACAATGACTTTTTACAGACAATATCAAAGAGATGATCCATAAAAATGAGATCTCATAAGTTGGAATTCATTAAAATTCAAAACTTCTGCTCTCGAAAAGACAAATTCAAGATAATGAGAAGACAAGCCACAGACTCATATAATCTCTGCAAAAGACACATCTGATAAAGGATTGTTATCTAAATATACAAATAACTCTTAAAACCAATAAGAAAAAAACAAATTGAATTAAAAATATTGGCCAAGGGCCTAAACAGACCACTTACTGAAAGAGATATACAAGTGACAAATAGGCATCTAAAAAGAAGCTCCGTGTCGTATATCATCAGGAAAATGCAAATTAAAATAGCAATATGATATCACCATACAATTACTAGAATGGCCAATATCCAGAGCACTGACAGCCCCAAATGCTGGTGAGGATGTGGAGCAATAGAAATTATCTTTTATTGCTGGTGGGGCTGCAAAACTCCACTTTGGAAGACAGTTGAGCAGCCATTTTGGATGACAGTTTGGCAATTTCTTGCAAACCTGAGCATACTCTTACTATGGATCCAGCAATCATAAACACAGTATTTGCTTAAAGGAGTTGAAAACGTATGTCCACACAAAAGTCTATACATGGATATATACAAGTATACATATAGCAGCATTATTTATAGTTCCCAAAACTTAGAATAAACTAAAATGTCCTTTAGCTATTAAACTGATAAACTGTGGTGCATTCAGACAATGGAATACTATTCAGTGATGAAAAGAAATGAGATATCAAGCCAAAAAAGACATGGAGGAATTTAAATGCATATTACTACACGACAAAAGCTAAACTGAAAAGGCTACATATGGCATGATTCCAGCTAGATGATATTCTTTTGAACTCTGTAGATAGAAAAAATTTCAGTGATTGCCAGGGGTCCTGGGTGGGGGAAGGATAAATTGGCAGAGCACAGAAAATTTTTAGGGCAGTGAAACAACTCTGTATGGTACTACAGTGGTAAGTACATGCCATTATAAGTTTGTCAAAACTTGTAGAACGTACAATACCAAGAATGAACCTTAAAATAAACTTTGGACTGTATGTGATTATGATATGTCAATGTAGATTCATCAGTTACAACAAATGTACTACTCTGGTGAAGGAAGTTAATAAAAATGGGGCTATGCATATATATGGGAAAATGTATATGGGAAATCTCTGTACCTTCATCACAATTTTACAGTAGAACTCAATTAGAAATAAATCTTGAGCCAGCCCTGATGGCCTAGTGGTTAAAGCTTGGCGCTCACCACTTCTGTGGCCCAGGTTCAATTCCTGGTTGTGGAACCACACAGATGGTGTGTGGAACCACACAGATGGTGTGCAGAACCACACAGGTCTGTCAGTTGCCATGCTGTGGCAATGGCTCACAGAGAAGAATTAGAATGATTTACAACTAAGATATACAACCATGCACTGGGGTTTGGGGAGATAAAAATACTAAATAAATAAAGCATAAATAATAGTTAACTAGTGTAGAACTATTTTTAGGAAAACAAAGAAAATCATGTTGACAAAATAGTGGACTAGGCATCTGTAAGCTTTTGTTAACCCATAGAAAGATAAAAAAAAAATCTTACCAGAAAGTGGGCAAACTAAACTTTTGGCTGCAAATTAGTCAAGGATTTACAGCACCCAAATCAAGAAAAATCCACATTTAAATTGGTGAGAAATTTTGTGGCAATTTTATTTATCATTGCCCCAGACCCTCCATGGTGTGATGTTGCCTGTTCTGGAGGAGGCAACATCCCAATTTCTAATTCCCTCTCTCAAATGGCAAGAAGTAAAGCAAACCATATTTACAAAGTTTCAACATCTTTTGGAGACGCCTGAAACACTGATCTAGGGCTCGCCTAACTCAGGTCTTATGTGGAAACAGTGAAAGGACACTTCTCAGGGAAGCTGCAGAGAGACTAAAGGACTATAAATCCTGAGGCAAGAGATTACACTGGAGCTGTACAATACACCATCGGATGCCTCGGGGAGAAACTGGATGGGAGCACTTTAGGAAATTATGAGGAGAAATTTAGAATGCTACACAGGCCCAGGAAAGATCCACAGTCAGGAAAATCTGAGAAGGTCTTAAGTTTTCACCTGGGGCTAATCCCTAATCTAAGAGTCAACTCAGTTAATAGTGAAGGTTATCATGACACAGAGCCCATCTGCATGGGCCAGGAAGTGGCTGCGTTCTTCTTCAAATGCCTAATTGTCAATGAAATATCACAAGTTTTCCAAAGGAAAAGGAAAACATGGCCCATTCATGGGGGAAAAATACATTAAGAGAAGCTATTTGTGAAGAAGCATAGACATAGGAATTACTAGACAAAAAATTTAAAAAATTGTTTTTGGTATGATTAAATAGTTAAAAGAAAACATAGATAACTAAGAGAAGTGTTATATGAACAAATGAATCTATCAACAAAGGGATGTAACTTATAAAAGAAAAGCAACTAGAAATTCTGGAGATGAAAATTATGAAAATATAAAACAAAAGCATCACTAGAGATTCAACAGAAGATATGAACAGTCAAAAGTACTAATAAAATTAAAGTCAGGGCGATTGAAATTATAGTCCGGGGAGCAGAAAGTCAAAAGAATAAATAAAAGTGAACATAGACTAAGGTAAATGTGGTAGTCCAACAAAGGATCACTATATGCTTCACAGGAGTACCAGAAAAGAGGAGAGTGAAAGGACAGGGAGATTACTTGAAGGGAAAACGACTAAAAGTTTTCATATTTGGTGAAAGACATGAATATATGATCCAAAAACCTCAACAAATTCCAAATAGGATAAATCCAAAGAGACTCACAATAAGACTCATTTAATCAACCTTTCAGGATGGAAAGAGAAATTGTTGAAAACAGCATAAATAAGTGACTTTTTTACATACAAGAGAGCCTCAGTAACATAATTGCTGCTTCTCAGCAGAAACCTTGGAGGACAGACAATAGGATAATATTTAAAGTGATGGAAGAGATAAAACTTTCACCTGAAAATTTTACATAACTTTAAAACTATTTCCTCAAAAGTGAGAGAGAAACTAAGACATTCTCAGCCACACAAAAGCAGATTAAATTTATTACTACTAGATCTGCTCTACAAAAAAAAAATGTCAAAGGTAGTCATTCCTATTGAAATAAAATGATGTCAGACTGTAACTTTGAGCCATATTAAAATTTGAGGATGTCAGGTAAGTTAAATACGTGGACAAATATAAAAATCAATATTACCGTAATCTTGATTTGTAAATCTGGTATTTATTTTCTACAGAATTTGGAAGACAAATGCGTAAAAACAATATTATTTGGTACACAAGGTATAAAGAAGTAATTTGTGACATCACTAACCTAAAGAGGGGAAGTAATCTGTATAGGATTGGTTTTTGCATGTGATTAAAGTTAAGTATTAATTGAACCTAGATTTTTAAAACTTTAAGATATAATATGTAATCCCCATGGTAACCACGAAGAAAATTTCTATAGAATGTACCCAGAAGGAAGGGAAAAGGGAATCAAAACATATCATTACAAAAAGTCAACTAAACACAAAAGATGGCAGTACTGAGGGAAATGAGAAACAAAAAAACTATAACAATATACAGAAAAGAAATAGCAAAATGGCAAAAGATACTCCTCCTTTATCTTTAATTACTCTAAATATAAGTGGATTAAATACTCCAATCAAAAGACATAGATTGAAAGAATGGATTTAAAAAAACATAATGTAATAACATGCTGTCTATAAAAGATCCACTTTATATATAAACTCATTAATAACTTGAAAGTGAAAGAATGTGAAAAGATAATTCATGGAAATAGTAGCCAAAAAGGATCTAAGGTCATATTAAAATCAAAGTAAACTTTAAGACAAAACCTGTCCTAGGGGATACTCAAGAACATTATATATTAATTAAAGTGTAATTAAGAAGATATGATTATAAACATATATGCACTGAACATTAAATCTCCAAAAAATATGAAGCAAATATTGAAAAAATTGAATGGAGAAATAGACAGTTCTATATAATAATCGGAGACTTCAATGTTTCTCTTTGAATGATAAATGGGAAACCAGAGATAAGATCAATAAAGAGGGGCCGGCTCCATGGCAGGGTAGTTAAGTTCTTGCGTTCCGCTTAGGTGGCCCAGGGTTTTGCTGGTTCGGATCCTGGGCGTGGACATGGCACCACTCGTCAGGCCACATTGAGGCAGCGTCCCACATGGCACAACTAGAAGAACCAACAACTAATAATATACAACTATGTACTGGGGGGATTTGGGGAGAAAAAGCAGAAAAAATAAAAAGAAGATTGGCAACATTTGTTAGCTCAGGTGCCAATCTTTAAAAAAAATCGATCAAGAAATAAAAGATTTGCAACATACTAGAAATCAATTTGACTCAATAGACGTATAAAAAATACTCTACTAAACATCTGAATACACAATTTCCTCAACAGCAACTGGAGCAGTCATCAGGATAGACTACATGGTACACCGCAAAACAAGTTGAATAAAAACTTAAGGTGTTGAAATTATACAATATATTGTATATATATATATATACACACACACAAAATGGAATATTATTTGACCTTAAAAAGGAATGAAATTCAGACACATGGTACAAGATGGATGAACCATGACAACACTTTTCTAGGTGAAATAAGACAAGCACAAAAGGACAGATACTATATGATTTTACTTTTATGAGGTACTTAGAATAGTCAAATTCATTGAGACATAAAAAAATCATATTTAGCAGGACTGTAGGGAGGGGAAACAGTAAGTTATTGTTTATAGAGTGAAAACCTCCAGTTTGCGATGATGACAATTTTCTGGAGGTGGATGGTGGTTACAGTTGCACAAAAATGTGAATGCACTTAATGTTACTTAATTGTACAGATGAAAATGGTTAAAATGGTAAACGTTATGTTATATACATTTTATCACAAAATATAGGTTAGGACAAAGCTTTAAACTAGACTTGTAGTACCCCTTCTCAAAAGAAACATAGTAATGCAAATACTGGAGAACTTAGAAACTCCAAGAACATTTAAGGCATTATCTACAATAAAGCAATGCCTTATTGAATATTATCTAAATAATATCTCATCAAACAGAGTAATACTATCACTTTATTTCCAATTTAAAAATTTTAAAATTTTATACTTTAATGGTAATTCCCCAAATAATGGGAACAACTTTAAAATAAATAGTATATAAATCAAGTTAAAGATTACCCCCAAAGTGTGTGATATTTTATGAATTTCTTATGTGTTTATAATAAAATTATAATTTCCCTTTTAATGTATTACATTTTTTAGCAAATTTAATTCAAACTGCCATACTTACTGAATAACAACATGTAAAATAATAACTACATAAAACTTTAAAGACAGTTATATTTGAAGAAACTGAATAAATATATTTGTTGTATATTTGGTTGTAAAAATGGGGAGATAATAAAAGGTACAAGTTCTAATCATATTCTTAGTTTTATTTATTACACATGAGTTAAGACTCTTCTGCAAGTGCGTAAGAGAAGATTTTTAGAATTAATTTAGAACTGTCTTTTATAAAGTACTAACCTGATCAATTGATGCATTAAGGCATCTCATTTACCACGAAACTTTAAAAAGAAATTTAATTTTATTAAAGTGGGTTCAAAAGGTCATATATATGTTTTCATATATACAATTAAAAATAAATGGATTGCTTAAACACCTGGAAACTTTTTTGAGACGTGAAGCTCTCTTCAATCCTAAAACATTACTTTATACAATTCTAGAAAGTATTGGAGGTAATGTTAATAATCTATTGTGAAATAGTATTGAAACATAGTGAATTTGATAATAATTGATAATATATACTCAATGGCTGATATTATCCTTGAACTTCTTTCCTGAATTTACAGTGAATAAGACTAAGGTCTATAATAAAAGATAACATATTCATGAAAATATGTTCACTTTAAAAATAATAATGATTCTTGTGACAAAATATATACTAAAATCATATAGGAATGCAAATGGAACTTCAAATGTAAGAGCAATTTATTTGTCCATAATTGAAAAAAGATATTTTGTAGAAAAACAGTTGAATTTGAAAGATAAATAGTATTTATTGAGGAAGGGAAAGTGCATTGTGTCCAGAGTCTGTGATGAATCCTTTGGAGGTGGGCAAGACTGCAGCGAAGTGGGGAATGCTTTACTATGGCATGTTGTCACATGGATTATATTCTCCAGAAGTAGAGCTATTTTTATACAAGCATGTGATGTGATCACGTAGCTGTTGATTCTATTGCATTAATCCTTTTGGCAGTGTGGGTTACTGTCTGGATTGAAATCATTCCAGATTCAAGGTGACCAGTTAAGAAAATGAATGACATAATCTATGTAAGAGTTGGTCAAGTCCAGTGTTAGAAGATTTTAAGTGGAATTTGCATGTGAATGGCCGCACTATTTACAACAGAAAGTGGTTTTGGAGCTAGTTCATAAATGTGCTCTCTGGATGGGAAGAGAAATGGAGGTCTTTGGAAGATATAGAGCTGAGTCATATTGGGGTAGGTTTTTGATGGGCTCGTGTGACATTTGATGACCAAAGCTAGCAGATAAGTGAACAAATCCTCAGTAACGATTAAGAGGATAGACTTCCCTACTTCTTACTTGGGTTTTTGTGGCTTGTTTCTGCCAATGAGTACACCGTTTACATGGTTCCCAGGGTAAACTTATTAAACTTTTCATTGCTTATGAACTATTTTAACTTACACGAATCTGTTATTTTTAATTAAATTTTTCTCTTGTCTAGATTTTATACAAAAGTATGAAATGGCATTTATAATAAAAATGAAATAATAATAGCTAAATTCACCTGTCTCTGGCACAATTATATATTTTCTAAATTTAAAAGACCCCTTCTGGAAGTAATTCAGGTATTCATGGGAATAGTGAATATGTTGGAGTTATCCAGCTTTTTTAAAACACAAATTGTGCCTAAATTTACTGCTTTCTATGTTTAACTTTTGAATTTTATTTTAACTTCCTGTACGTATCACTGAAGTTCCAGTGAAATAGTAATAATGTCTGTATTAGTAATCTAGAATGATCTGTGAAAATCCAGTGGGAATGGTACATAGAAATACTTTGGGAACAATATCACTGAGAAATATGGGGATGATAAGCGTGTGGAGGAAAATGATATGATGGCAACTTTCTTGTTGTCAATGTTGGTAGTGAAGATGGTAAATGTCACAGCTAATGTTCAGTGATGACTTAAGCAAAGGCACATTCTAAGTATCCAGTATACATTATCTCGTACTATCTTATAATAACTCTTACTCCTTTCCAGCTTTATTGACAAATAAAAATTACATATATTTAAGAGTACAACTTAATGTTTTGATATATGTACACTGTGAAATAATCACCACAATCAAGTTAATTAACATATCCATCAACTTACATAGTTACCTTTTTTTTTGCTGAGAGATCACTTAAGATTTACTCTCCTAGTAAATTTCAATTACAAAATACAGCATTGTTCACTTTATTCACACTGCTGTACATTAGGTCTCCAGAATTTATTCGTCTTGCTTAATGGAAACTTTGACCCAAACCTCTCCATATCTTCCTCCCTTCAGCCACTGAGAACCACCATTTTACTCTCTGCATCTGTGAGTTTGACTATTTCAGGTTACACATACAAGTGTGATCAGCAGTGTTTATCTTTCTGTGTCTGGCTGTTTAAATTTAGCATAAAGTCTTCCAGGTTCATCCATATTGTTGCAAATGACATAATTTCCTTTTGTAAGTCTGTATAATATTCCAGTAGAATATGTATATTCCAGATTTTCTTTATGGATTCATTCATTGATGGACACAGGTTGTTTCTCCATTTTAGCTATTGTAAATAATGCTGCAATGATCATAGGAGTGCAGGTATCTCTTCAAGATACTGATTTCATTTTCTTTGGCTATATTCCAAAAGTAGGGTTGTTGGTTCATATGGTAGTTTTATTTTTAATTTTTTGAGAAACTTACATACTCTTCTCTATAATGACTGTATCAATTTACATTCTCACCAACAGTACACAAAAGAGTTCCCTTTTTTCTACATCCTTGCCCACACTTGTTGTCTTTTTGATAATAGTCATTCTAAGGTGTATGAAATAATGTTTCATTGTGGTTTTGATTTACTCATTTATAAGCTACAGGCTGAAAAAGCTAAATCACTAATCCAAGTGTAGATTTCTAGTAAGTGACAGAACTAGAATTAGATCTTGTGTTGACTCCAAACTATCTGCAGCACGCTTGTGCAATAAGGCAGAATCACACCTGTCTTCAATCGGAATCCAAACTCAAAGTGTATACACTAGTAATCACCTTCTATGTGTCTCTCAAAATATCAGTCTACTTATTTTCCTATTTATCTATTAATGCTGATTCACCCTTGTGTAATGTGATGAAGGTGTATAATTTAGAGGTAAGCAAATATATGCATGTACAAATACCGTGTATTCTTGGTCTCTTTATACACTAAACTAATTGTGATTCTCCAGATCTACACCCTTGTAAACAAGGAAAAATATACATTGCTTAAACATTTAATAAGACTACTAATTCCTAAGTCACTAAAGTAAGATAAAGTGTATATTTTTTGTCCCTTTTAAGTAGAATCTATTGTGGAAACCCTTGATGGGGTGTGGACTCTCATGTAGGATTCAATAAAATGATATTGTGGTGAAATACGCTTGTCTAGACCCTAGAGGACGACCCTCTTCTGGGTCATCTGATTCAGAATCTCTGAAAGCCACTTGGCAAGGCTGTAAATTCTAGATAATTGATGGCCACACAGAACAAATATTGTCTATGGACATGCAGATACAAATATGACCAAAAATGTTAAAGAACTAGATAGACTTTATGGATCCAATAGGTTCAAAGTCCTTCTGGGAAACTGATATGATACCTATTTTATAGGATTCCTGACTTACAGGAGAGTAAGGAAGTTCCCTTTGGCGAACTTCAGCACTTTAGACTTTTTCAGGGATCTTGAGAAGAGAGAAAATCTATGTGAAACCTGGTGGAGAGATTTTTTACAGTTAGATGCTTTTAAAAGTCCAGTCTGAGATTTCTTATAAAACTTCCAGCAAGGCCAACTTAAGGCTTCTTGGGTAAATCCACATTTTTGCTGCATCTATGCAAATAATCAGAACAAATGTGACCAGACTTATTTAGTGATCAGAAAGATCTTTGTTTGACATTAATTTTGACCAAAAGCAAGACAGTGTAGAAAAATATCTCTGCTTCAGAGAAGAACTCTGCATTGTCTAGCTTCTAGAGGTCATATCATCAGATCTGCCACTCAATCACTGTATAGTCTTAAACAATTCAATTCAAATCTATAGGAAACAGTTTTTCAGCTTAATAATAATGAGGCTATATTTGAAAAAATCTCTTTCTTCTGTAAATATATGATCACTAAAGTGAGGCATTTTTTTTTTTTTTGGTTTTATTTTCAGCTGAGTAAAAGCATAGGAAAAAAGTATCTATGCAATGAAAATAATGCATGTTGACTTTATGTGATGGAAATTTGCAATTTACTTTGAAACCTGGGCCACAGTTGGAGGATTTTCCTCATCATGATGTAGGAGTAAACTGAATATATGCTAAATATATACATTTTCAACCTTATTTACAGAGGAGTTAATGTAAGTGTTTCTCTGTAATCAAGATCTTCCAGGTAGGGACACTACAGTATTTGAGAAAAGACATGAATTCGAGTTCATTTAGAGGTTCTGAGAATGATGTTTGCATTCTCTACACCATTCACTAGAGTTTGATTGAGCCAGGTAACAAGAATATGAGAGAATATAGTAAGAGAATATGGTAACCACTGCAGAAAAGAAATTAAAAACATAAGAATTTCTTGAAATGAGCAAAATTTAAACACTAAATCAATTTATTTGTGCATAAAGGAACTTCTCATATACCTTCTCAGCCCTCTTTCATGTATAGTGAATTTCCATTTTAATAGCATTCATTTTTTCTCATTTTATTTATTTAGTTTTGAGCAATTTAAAAGATAACTGCTAATTTCAGAATTACTTTAAAATCTTTGAAGGATAACACAGGAAACTTCTTTAAATAAAATGTCAATATGTAAGTATCTATATCTATCCATCTAGCATTTAAAGTACTAACCGGGGAATCAGGGAAAGTCACTTAAAATCTCTGAATCTTTTATCGTTAATTATAAAACATCAGTGGTTATATCAACCTCAAAGGCTAGTTAATTTCATTTAATCCTGACACAAATCTTGACACGTCAGGTTCTACCCAGTGGAGACGGTCAATAAATGTTTACGTCACTATCCTCTCTTCCCGGTACAGACCTTGTCCAGGTTCAAAGCTTGTTTCTCAGCGTCACTAAGAAACCATCTGATTGCTCTTTTCTCCTGCATATGTTGTCATCAGTGCTGATGCCAAACCACAAAGTCTTAGTGGAATTTAAAAAAATCAAGACAGGTGAAAATTTTTTATAAATGGTCTGCAAATGAGTTACTTATTGTTATTTCATTGGATAAAAGGGAAAATAATCTAATTTATTTTTACATTAATAAAAATGATCTCTTTACTTTTGACCTTGAAACAGATATTCAATAGCTGACGTTGCTTCCCTTTCAGAGGTAAAGCTTCTTTAAATGACTTCATATGACAGGTTATTAGCACATAAGAACAGGGAAACATAGATAATCAAATGATGCTGCACTGGCAGTCATGTGACATGGCATCAAAGAACAGACATGACTTGCTGTTCATTATTTCTGTTCTGTGTTGCTATATGCTCAAGGTTAAACTGGAATAATATTAACTATCTAATGGAATCTTTGTCATAGTTGGCCCCATATAAAATACAAATGATAGGGGTACTCACAATGTTCATTTCATTGATAATTACAAATACTACATTTTCAATCTTATCAATAATTGAAACTACTAATATAAATTATATCCTATCATATTACTCTAATATGCTGGTGTCGTGTTGAATCCAAATGTCAATTTGTGGAAAGAATTTTCTCCCCTTATTTTTATTTTGCAAGTTGTCAGCAGCCGGACAATAACCGAAAATCAATTGTTCCACATAGGTCCAGTACCCTGCTGTAGGTTTCTTACAATTTATTTGGAGATCATACATATGCAGTCATTTGATTACATGCAAACTATTAACTGTGAAATACTTTTTATATCACTTTAATATGTTATCCAAATAAAGCATGGACACAGCATCAACAACCCACAAGGTAAAATGATAGTCCCGTGATCTACTCCTCCTGAGACCCAAGGTAAATAATTAAAATTGTTTTACAGATTTTCCCTGTAATGCCCTGATATTTTAGACAATATGCTTATCTTCTAAGGCTTGCTTTCTAAACCCCAATTACTAGATCATGATTTGTGACTCAGGTCACTGTGACTGGGAAGCGGTCCCGTCCTTACGTCACCACCTTCACCATTTTCCTCTCTTTCCACACTCTTGACATAGTTACATCCCACTTTATGGCTTGATGGCATTGTTCCATTTTCTAGAATTTATTGGTTGAATGTAAAAAAATATACCATTACCATAATCCCAATACTATTTTTTGGTCACTACTGCATATATTTCTTCTAATTGTATTACTATTATTTCTCTCAAGAAAATTTTAGGATCTTATCTTTATAGCTGATATTTAGAATTGTCAAGAAATTGTTTTTAAGAAAACATTGTTTTCAAAAAAGCATTCTTTAATAAATTATTTCTCATTTATTTTTCTGTGTTCTTTGCAAGCTATTTGAATACTGTACTTCCTTTAGGCGAGCTATGAGAAAATGTCTTTGATAATATTTACTCTGTAATTACTATTTCATATGCATTTTTAGGAATGCCATAAATATATGTTGGGTCAACCTATAGTAATTATCAAATTCTTTCTTTTCTGAATATCTGACTTTTGTTTGATTGTTGCTGTTTTCTTTCTGGTCCATTGTCTTCAATTTATCTTTTGAAGCCTTCATTGAATCTGTTATATTAATTATTACCTTTTTAATTTCCAAAAGTCCTTTATTGTTATTTACCACCTTCCTTTATATTACACATAGTGTTTGAACTGAGGTTTTAACAACTTCTCATATTTTTCTGAATATAAATTTTTAATAATATTTTCTTGTACTTTTCCTAATCATGTTTAACTCAGTGTGTGTGTGTGTGTGTGTGTTCCTCTTTCATTTGAGTATTCCTCAAAACTCTGATGATCTTTTGTCTCAGAGCAATATTATGACTGAAATACTACACCCTCTGTTTGGGCACAGCATGCTGAGCTTGCTCTCCGATGGTATTCCCTTTGGCGAAGAACCCCCCACTCATTCCTGTTAAGGACACTCTCAGGATGCCATACCCCCTTCTCCATTTAAGAGACTCACTGTTTCTCAAAATTCCTTCTTCCAAAAGGTCCTGAACTCTTTAACCTCTGATTCTCCCCTCTGCTCTCTTCCTCACTTTCTTTAAGTTATAATATGTTTTCTTACCTTGGTAGTTGAGTTTTATAGCAGAGAGGTGATGAATATATGTGCTTATACTCCCACAATTATCTAGAAATGGAAAGAGTTTTAAATAAATGAGAACAAAATTTAAAAAAGAATGAATAATAAAAGGTGCCATAAAGCAATGGGTAATGTTATGTAAGCATTGAAAAATAGCTGGACTAAATACATATCTTCCTTTGGGAGAACTTGAGCAAAAGCATGGAAACTAAAAGGAAATTGCAGTACAGATCATCTAGATGGGGATTTACTTTGACCAAAGCATTGGGAAATTAAATTAGGAGGCAGAGGAGAATGACTTTACATGAATGATATTTGGCAATAAGGATTCATTGTAGATTTCTGAAAAGAAGAAGGAAATAATTATACTTGACATCTAAAAAGCTTGATTTGGCAAGCTTTTTGAGGAGAACTCAAAAAGGGAATATAGACCTGTAACATGAGCTGATAGGCTACTGCAGTTGCGGAGGTATTAGGGCTTAAATATAAAAGAAAAAAATCATCCCCTAAGGTTCACAAAAATGTATTTACATATAAGTCTATAATTTACGTATTTACATTAATTTTCTATGCATACATTTAAAGTATGAGCTCTGACTTTTGCAACCGAAAATTCGGTCTCTGAACCCGATGCCAGTCCAAATAACAAGAACAGAGTCTTGAGTGGAAGAGGAAAGTTTTTACTATGCCAGGCACAGGGAGCAAAGCAAGGGCTCATGCCTCAAAAATTGCTAGCTCCCTGATGAGGAATGGGTAGGGAGATTTATTTGGGGTTTTGGGTAGGGGACGGGGCACATGTAGCTTGTGCAGGTCAGTGTTTTCCCACCAGCCTGCTTTTGGCCTTGAGAGGCTGGTTGCAGCGAGGCAGGTGATGGTGAGATAGGAGGATGGCAGGTGGGTGTCCTTCGCTGTTGTCTTGGTCTTCCTGTTTGAGGTGCGTTCCAGTGCCAGGAGCCAAGGAGTTGAGGTCTGGGAAGCCTCCGCTCCTTGATATTCTTGAGACAGCAGCTTTCCTGGCAAACTTAAAGGACACGATTAGCTAAACTTTAGTGTGCCTCCAACTCCAGGCCACCTGGGCTTTTAACAATTTGTAACTCCCATTGAACTGTAAAGCTCATGAAGTCAAAGTTTAAAGAGACAGCTATTTACATATGAGTGGAGCTAGAGCAGCAGGAAAGGGGGTAGTGGGTTTTACCTTTAAATCCATATATTCTGGGTTCAATGTGGGAGAACTGATATCAGGGCTGATGTTAAGAGCCTGTAACACTTTGATAGTATCTGGAATTATGTAGGGAAATAAAATAACTATATCCTAATAAATTCATTAGAGAAATATGTTATTCTTAAAAATTCACAGACTTCTATTAAATACTTTGGCCATAGATGTTTGCTTCACCAAAATTTTTTCATGAGGTAAAAAGTGGGATTTTTTTTTCAGAATAGGCAATTTTGTTCTTCGTTTAAGATCTGTATTCTAATTTAATGTTGCATCTGTCTTTAGGAAAAACTAAATGAGTACTCCATGGAAAATTCCAATCAGACATCTACTGATTTCATCTTATTGGGGTTGTTTCCATCGTCAAGAATTGGCCTGCTCCTCTTCATTCTCACTGTTCTCATTTTCCTAATGGCTCTGTTAGGCAAGCTGTCCATGATCCTCCTCATCCCCCTGGACACCCATCTCCACACACCCATGTATATCCTACTCAGTCAGCTCTCCCTGATGGATCTGAACTACATCTCCACCATTGTCCCCAAAATGGCTTCCAATTTTCTGTTTGGAAACAAGTCTATCTCTTTCATTGGGTGTGGGCTTCAGAGCTTCATCTTCTTGACTTTAGCAGGTGCGGAAGGCTTATTATTGGCCTCTATGGCATATGATTGTTATGTAGCTATCTTCTTTCCTCTCCACTATCCCATCCATATGAGCAAAAGAGTGTGTGCGGCGATGATAATAGGATGTTGGATAATGGGCTCTATCAACTCTTGTGCCCACATTGAATATGTCCTCCATATCCCTTATTGCCATTCCAGGGTCATCAATCATTTTTTCTGTGATGCCCCAGCCATGTTGACTCTGGCCTGTGTAGACACCTGGGTCTATGAGTACACAGATTTTGTGAGCACCACCCTCTTTCTTGTGGTCCCTTTTATTGGCATTGCATGTTCCTATGGCCATGTTCTCCTTGTTGTCTACCGCATGCACTCAGCAGAAGGGAGGAAGAAGGCCTATTCCACCTGCAGCACCCACCTGACTGTGGTGACTTTCTATTATGCTCCCTTTGTTTACACTTATCTATGCCCAAGATCCCTCCGATCTCCAACAGAGGACGAGCTTCTGGCTGTCTTCTACACCATCCTGACCCCACTGCTCAACCCCATCATCTACAGCCTGAGAAACAAGGAGGTGATGGGGGCCATAAGAAGAGTGGTTCAGAGAATCAGCTCTGTGACAAAGTAGATAAACTATGTATGTTAGTCACTGAGATTCAGTTAAACATCAATTCAGCTGTGTCCCATCACAAAGAAAAATAGTATTCCATGCCTAGAGTGAAGGAACTGAAATTAATGTAGACAATTTAAAAACTTGAGATTCCACAAACTAATTGTATATTCTAAGCCAGCATTTATGCTAACATGTGTAAATGAAAATTCAAAATACTTAAACTGATTATACCTTGCAGCGTGCAAGTTTTACAAGAATTTTTGGTCTCCCAATATTAGTAAATTAGCATGAAAGAACAATAGATGGTTAAGATGCTCCTAGTCTAATTGGAAACAAAATATTTTATTTATTTGTATAATAATTTATCCATTTTTCCAGCTTTATTGATGTACAATTGACAAAATTGTATAATTTTAAGGTGTGCAATGTGATGATTTGATATACATATATATTGTGAAATCATCACCAAAATCAAGCAAATTAACATATCTATCATCTTACATAGTTACTTTTTATCGGTGAGAACAGCTAAGACCTACTCTCTTAGCAAATTTCAAGTATATAATACATTATTCTTAACTATAGTCACCCTATTCTAATTTAGAATTCCAAAACTTTTTCATCCTTTATATCTGAAACTTTATCTGCTTGACCAAAATGTCCCCATTTCTCCATCACCCAGCCCCTGTTAAAAACCATTCTACTCTGTGCTTCTAAGAGTTTGACTATTTTTTATTCCATATGTAAGTGAGAATATGATGTGTTGTCTTTCTGTCTGGCTTATATTACTTAGAATAATGTCCTCCAGGTTTATCTATATTGTCATAGTGACAGGATTTATTTCTTTTATAAGGCTGAATAATATTCCATTGCATATGTATTTACCACATTTTCTTTATCTATGCATCCATTGATGCACACTTAGGTTGTTTTCATGTCTTGGCTGTTTGGCTCTTGTGAATAATGCTGCAATCAACATGGGAGTGCAAATACCTCTTTGACATAGTGATTTTATTTTCTTTGGATATATACACAGAAGTGAGATTGTTGGACCCTATGGCAATTCTATTTCTAATTTTTGGAGGAAGCTTCCATACTGTTTTCCACAGTGGAGGTGCCAATTTTAAGTAGATTTTTTTCATCACAAGGAAGTGAATAATAATGTCATAATAATGTGGAAAAATATAATAGTTGCTAGCTGATGAAAGATTTACCTCATCTCACTTAACTACATGACTCTCAAACTCGGAGAAATTTGAAAAATGTTATCAAGAACAAAATATTTAAAAAAGACAAGAGAGAATTGCTGCTTAACATCAGTGCCAAATACATATTAAGCATTTCACATATTGTAGGGGACACAAAGACACATTTCACACAAAATGGTGGGCCAGTATGACAATTGCAAGCTAACACGAACCTTTCGTTCTTTCATTGCAATAAACCAATCAATAAATTGTAAAATTTTCTCAATGTTTTCTACTTAAACATTTTTAAGACCTCTCATCCTCAATGCCTATAATCACTTTCTTACTTCAGATCCTTATCCTTTCTTTTTTTTTCTTTAAAGATTGGCCCTGAGTTAACATCTATTGCCAATCTTCCTCTTCTTTTTTCTTCTGCCCAAAGGCCCCAATACATACTTGTATACTCTAGTTGTAGGTCATTCTAGTTCTGCTTTGTGGGATGCCATCTCAATATGGCCTGATGAATGGTGCTAGGTCCACACCCAGGATCCGAGCCTGTGAAACCCTGGGCCGCCAAAGTGGAGCATGTAATATTAACCACTGGCCACGGCACCAGGCCCCTCCTCTCTTAACTACAGTATTTTCTTGCAAAATTTTCTGATTGAATTAAAATTATATTTGGAATCTATTATCTGTTAAAGTTTTTAACTGGAAAGAGAGAAATAAATTCCATCTAATTTAAACTGGTAATATAATACTAAAAATGACTGAAAGACATAGAATCTCTAGAAATGGAGGTCAATCATGTATGAAGGTTCTGTGAACATGAGAAATTTTCAATATGAGCCTGGGAATGAGTCCCTTGATGATACCACTGTGGCTCCATTCTGAGTGCCATGTATAGTCTCAGAACCATATGATGGGCTCCTCTAGAAACTTCATGAATTTATTTCTGTTTCATCCATGTTCCCCTGGAGATTGTGCACTTGCCCTGGTTCTTTGAACAACTCACTTCTAAGTTAAAACCTGCAAATAGAGAATCTAATCCATAGTTTAGATATGTCTTGGCCATATCTGTAAGATGGGCAGGGAAATGAGCATTTGGGTTCTATCATAGATAATTAAATGTTTGCTCTCTAAGACATGTCAGAAAGAGTTCAAATAAAAAATAATGATAAATGAAAAAGAGGAAGATTGGCAACAGATGTTAGCTCAGGGCAACTCTTCCTCATCAAAGAAAATAATAATAATGATAAATAGACTCTAGACTTTATGCTTAACCAGGAGTCCTGTGGCTCTTCACTTATCTGCTTACATTGGCTAATATGAGTGAGATGTAGGAATATGTGAAAAGTTTGTTTTAGGTACATTGTCTGGAGAAATATAAATGAGAGATGGAAAAAGTAGATATTATCTGGCTTTTCTTCCCCGATTAGGCCACAAAGACTTCCCAGGACCCTCTTTGGATAGACACAGTGAAAGGAAGCAGAGAGAGACTGAGGTGCCTATCGTGAAATTTGTAAAATTAGCGTACCAGCACTGGTGCCTCTAGGGCCTGCTCATCTAATGTGACCCAGAGCTGTGTAGAAAGGTCATCTCTACAATTCATTAGTGAGGATAATGTACTCAGAACAATGCAGAGTTTCTCACTCTCTTTGGCATCTCAAAGGTCCTGTATCTTTCAGATTTTCTGGAATGATGCCTTCCTGGGCAGGATCACAAAAGTCATCCTCATTTATTATCACAAGATAAGAGAATCTGGAGATGATTGTGTTACTATGACTGTAGAGATAGAAACGTTTCTTTCTATCTCTCTTTAAATCCAGACTGGCTTGAAGTTGCTCTTGGAGTTATCTAAGTAAAATACATATTAATGATGTTACTTTTCTTAGTATCGTAAGCAATTATCTCCTGTAGCTGGTTCATCCTTACATCTGCAGGATCAACAGCACAATTCCCTGTCTAAAACTTTATTTTCTCTTCAGGATAAATTGAAAGCAATTCTCTGAAAAAGTTGTGAAAAGTCACAAGTGTATCAGGAATACAGTTGGCTGTATCTTCAATATATAATCCACCATCTTCATGCAAAAATCTCTGACTGGATGATTCCTATCTCTCACTGTTCTCAAAGTGTGAGGTCAGGCATCATTTACATGAGGAATTTGTATCTTTATTCTCTGTTCTCATAGATGTCAATATTCCTACTAATGAAATATGTCATCACTGTATTATAATAATCTTTTTTACTAAAAATTCATGGACCATTAACTGTACATTTTTTCTCTTTAAAAACTATTTTTGAAATATGATATACAAACACTTGATAAATATTCAAAAATTGAAACCACTGCAACTGGCACCTCGATTGAGGAGTAGATGTGACCAGTACCTCACAAGCCACCCCTGTGCTCTCTTTCATTCTCTAACACTTCAAAATTATCCTGTTTTACAACTTCTGATAATAAAGATTAATTTTATCATTTAAATTTTTTATTTGTAGATCATGTGTCCTTTTGTATCTGGCTTCTTTTCCTTCACATGATGTCTGTTAAATTCATTCCGGTTATTTGTACATTTTTAGAGTATGAATTCACATTGCTATTGAATACTCCATTTGGTAACTATCCTCTGCTTTTTTACCCATTTTTGTTAGTGAGCATATGTGAGTATTGTAGGGCTTATCTATTAAAACGATTGCTGCTATGAATATTTTTGAACATGTCTTTTGTAGATGATACGGAGAAATTTCTGTTGGAGATTATCCAGGACTCTAGATCATCAGAAATGCTTATTATTATCTTTTCCCCCCAACTTTATTGAGGTTTAGTTGATAGATAAACATTGTATATATTTAGGATGTAGAACATGATGATTTGATGTATGTATGGACCATTAACTGTTAACCATCAGTGGCTTGCTATTTTCTTCTTCATGTGCCCAGATCATGCTTATTGAGTATTTGTTCCACTTTCAAAATACAAAGCATGTCTTAGTTATTCATAGCCCATTACATTTTCACAGATTATTAGAATTAGATTACACAATTTTCACCAAAAAATTTTGGATTTTGACATTAACTACATACAATTTATATGAAAATTTGTGGAAAAATAAAATCTTTTCCATATTGACTCGATTTATTAACAAAACATATCTCATCACATATATGTCAATTTATAAAGGCTAGAAACACATCCATATCCTATGCAAATGTATTTATGAAAATATTTTTCACCTGAATCTTGCATTTTTGGGACACAGAATGGGACTTCTTTTTCAAAATAAGTAAATGTGATTATTCATTTAAAAGCCATATGACATTATAAATAATTCAACTGAACTGAACACAGAAATTTAAGAACAATGTTTAAAAAGCTCAGAATTTTATGTAAGTTCTCTACTCTTCTTTCTCCTCTTAGAATAAGCCAAATCTCATGGCCCCACACCATGCTTGGTTTTATGGTGTCCTCTGGGGGAGTATCCAGCACTCAGCCCCCACTTTCCATTGCACTCTTGGGGAGTGTAGGGGTCTTTCAGAATCACTTCAACACCTGGGTTTGCTAGGGCATGGTAGGGGTGTCAGGGACTCACTGAGTACTTCTCTCACTGAACACAAAGCCATCTTGACCAGACCACACATGATTATTGTGCCAGGAAGATGGTGGAATAGAAGGTTTTAGCCTGCCTCCTTTCACAGAAACATAAATATAAACAAACATCCATGCACAAACATACTTTCATGAGAGATCTGGATTCCAGATGAGAGAAGTGAAGCACAGAAAAGGAAAAAAAAAAAAACACATTGAAGAGGGTAAGAAGGATGGTTCA